GTAAACAGTTTGTTGAAATTGACAATAGTTTTTCAGGTGAGCTTCCTGTAACCTCAGGTGTCCCACAGGGCAGCAATTTAGGACCTTTATTATTTCTCATTTGTACAAATTACATCGTTCACGTAAATAAATCACCCATGCGAATTCGGTTGTTCGCAGACAATTGCGTAATATTTCACGAAATAACCTGCGACGCCAGCCAAAGAGCTCTAAATTCATGCATTCACAACATAACATCATGGTGTACCAAGTGGCATGTGGAACTAAATGCGAACAAATCTGTTTTCATGAATGTTACGAGAAAACTTAACAAATTATCATTTTTATATACAGAATTGCTTCTACACCTCTCGCAGAAGTTCGTGAATACTAGTACCTTGGTGTGACAGTAACAAATAACTTATCTTGAAATGCTCACGTTTCCAACATTTGCAAGGCAGCTTTCAGGAAACTATGTTTCTTAAGACATAAATTAAAACAGGCTCCCCCAGTTACTTGCTTAACAGCATATTACTCATTCATCCGTCCTAAATTGGAGTATGCATGTATCGTGTGGGACCCTAATACCAAATGCAACATTGACGCTTTGCAAAAAGTCCAACGTAATTACCATTATACCAAATGCAACATTGACGCTTTAGAAAAAGTCCAACGTAAAGCAGTCCGATTTAATTTTTCTAAATATCGCTCGACCAATTCCCCAACCAGTCTTATGCTAGCTAATAACAATCAAACATTGCGATTACGAAGAAAAATTCGTAGAAATATATTCTTTTTTTTTTTGCTGAAGAACAACCACTTTTTCATTAGTGCAGATCCTTTCTTTAAGCCACTTGCAGCTCGACAAACGAGACACCGCTATGCTGAATCTCTGACGCCGTATCTCTCGAAAACTAACCTTTTCAAGTAGTCCTTTTTTCTTCGTAGCATAGATGATTGGAACGAATTATTCGTTTATGCAGCACTGATGCTATCGATGCTATGAGTTGTTGAATATGTCTTTGCACTTTGTGCATCTTTTGTTGTTGTGCTTATGCAATATTTGGATCTATAGTACTGTAGTGCTTTCAAAGTAATTTGTAATTTTTGCTTCAAGTTGTTCGTTCCTGCAATTAATTTTTTTTCATCCTGTCAATGGATTATGTTATTTGTCTAATTTTATTGTTTATTTCGTCTTCTTTTATACCTGTTTGCATTGTACTCTTCTGTCCCTCCGGCTTTGACCCTCACTGGGTATGCAGTATCTTGTAAATAAATAATTAAATGTATTTATTTGAAGAGTAATTATTCATATAAACGGTGGCGTTTGCTGCTCTGGTGTTCAACCTTCCATCCCTCCCGTAGGCTAATTCACAATTGTTTTGTAGTGAGAGCTATATCGCCGTCGTAATCTCGTAGTATTGCTGTGGCTGGTGGTCACATCGCTAGCTTATTCGTTGCCTAGCAACCGGCGCCACTGGCGCCGCCGCTTGACAGGCAATCTGGCATGACGTCAGGGGAGGACCTGGTTAATCCACATTGCAACAGCAGAAGAGCAGCCGGCGTTGCATGTATATAGTATATATACAAGGGGCGGCACGGTGGAATTTGTCGGCAGATATGAAAACTGAGTAGGAGAGACTGTAAAAAGCCAGGCTTTTTGTGAGAACGAAACCAAGAGGAGGTAGCTAGCCAAGAAGACGGGGGGAAAACGAGCTACCTACCTCCAGAAGCGTTACCATATTGACAGCTTGTCCACACCGGCAGAAAAAAGTGTATAACTTGAATGACGATGCTACGTCTGACTATGAGCTTCCCATTAGACGTCAGTCTAGTCAGTGAGCCTGGCAAGTCCTCGACATACACACCACTACTAAGTACACTTAAATATGTCTAACCGCCTTGTAACACTTGCCTCAAAGCGAAAAATCCTGCATATGCTGATACTGGCCAACTCTTTCACGGGATCGATTCCCACAATGCATGGGTGCTGATTCTGCTCGTGGCTTGTGCTATGTGGGCAGCGTGTACACCAGTTTCCCCAGTACACTTCTGCAGTCATACTCATAGTCACCTCTCTGGTGGTTCGAAGAATGCTCATTAGATGGCGCGCCAGCCCACAAAGAGTCACTTTTCTATGGCCTACGCGCTCGCCTCATCGAAGTGTGTTTGAAAGAAAAGGAAGTAAAAAGTGTGTCATGGTAACTGTAAAGAAATGAGAAACAGACAGGAAAGGAAGAGGGTGTCAGTAGTATTTGGTCTGGCCGCGAGCGAATGCACGCTACCTCCGAGCAACTACAGTGTACTAGCACAGAACACATACCAGTTTAGAGAACGTAAGCTGCACTTTTGGGCGGTTATATCAAAATAACATGCGAATGCGTAGCGGTGGCGTACTGAACTGCAATACCGAGAGGCGAGATGGCGCTGGTAGTACTATCATCATCAATAAACAGACGCTTCTTTTTGCTGCAGGTGCGGGGGCTTGCTGCGGGTTCGCGCTGCTCGCTTCCTCTAGTATGTTGTGTTTTTTTTTCGTTGCTAAATCAAGGTTCGCGTCTTTAATTATCGCCAGGAGACCTAACTGGCCTAGACTGGCAAAACAACGTCAATCAACGAAGGTTTGCATCGTTTATTGCGAGTGTCCCAGATGGTACAACCAATGAATATGGTCTGGTTCGAACAAAACAAGTCACTCATACTTATCGAAAGCTTTCAACCCATGTGTAAAGACTCTTGAAAGCTGACAAGCATATGCATACAACTGAATATCGAGATCGCTGAATGAACGTCGCTCTCGTTGTACTGCGGCGTTCGAGTTTCATAGCTTGGCTTCAGGACAAGGGTCCGATTCTGCCGACAAATGCGGCGCTTGCCCTGTAGTGTTGACCTTGAAGTGAAGTGAATTCATGATGTAGAATCGGGAAGGAAACTTGCACATCGCCGATAGATACCTCATGCAGTGAGAGCAATGTAGTATTGCTGATTTGTTAAATAAGCAATTGCGGACGCGTGCTGTTATGATCGTTTGACCTATGTAAATCTGCCAACGTCCTCGAAGCAACCTGGAAAGAACCCGTATCAGCCAGAACAGCCGAGAATCAACCTAAAGAGGCAACCGGGATAGTCTTCCGAACCACCAAGTTTCGCTGTATTACACTCTAAAAGTTTTGTGGAGTGACTGCGCAGTTACCCTCGAAAATGTTTTTTGTTCCTCCTAAGGATGAAATGCGAGCACATTCCTACTTGTGGAGTAAAGTGCCTGTTTTCGGAGTAACGGT